ACCATGCTGAAGTCTCCTGTTTCGATCCTCCTCTCAGACTAGCAGGAGCAAACAAATCACAGTAGCGTTGCATCTGAACTGGAGATTGCGGTTGTTTTTGTTCCAAACAAACCATCTAGCCAAGGTTTGTTCTTGGCTCACCAAATATTTGAGCAAAACAAACGATGAACCCTGGTTCAGATGTGCTCTAAGCCGGGATCACAGTTTGTTGCTCCCACTGGCTAGAGGGGAAGAGCAAAGCTGGAATCATCTGAGCATTTCTTAACTGTGGCTTACTGTGATGTGTAAACTGGGCCATAAGATTTTTCCAGCATTGTGAAGCAAGGTAAGAATACCAATTTATCATAAGGAAACCTTTCAGGGACCAGATGCTGTGTATGACTGGAAAGCGGTAACCATGTTCTTGGTATGAAAACCACATGGTAGGAATCGATGCAACCCAGAATGGTCTCAACTTGCAAATGGTGAGAAAAAAACTTCAGTGCATGTTCAGGAAACGGTGCTGAATTCATGCAAATACTGTGAGGTCGGGAAACACACCAGCATTTTGTTATTACCCAGTGACCTCAAGCCAGAGACTAAAAAAACAAAAACAAAACCATCATTGTGGTCACAGACCAGAGCAACCTAGTTGTGTGCACTTTCAGTTTGAATGCAAATATTAAAGGGGAACAAAAGCCCTTTGCTAATAAGATTATATTGTACGTGATTAAAAATAATGCTGTTGCAACCCAACGTTGTCTATAGACAGGAGCTGAATTTTAGTTCTGTGAATGGTGGGAAAGGAGGAAGATGAGAGGAGGGGAAATGGAATGGAGTGGTTGAACAAGCATCATCACACACTGCAACATTTTGTTGCAGCCCTGGCGTATCTAGCACTATTGTTATCTTTGAATGTATTAATGCTGATTGTTATGTTGAGTTGTAGCCAATGCTAGTCTTACTCAGAGAAGACACATTGAAATTAATGAACATGACTAACATAGGTCCATTAATTTCAGCCTGTCAACTCTGAATAAAACTTAGTTGGCTACAACCTATTGTATGTACCGGTATATATATTATTGTAATGTGCTTCAGACATTATTTTAATAGAAAAGTGAGATTGATACAACAACTAAACTACAACTAAACTCAACTGCTTTTGGTTGCGTACACACCACACATTTAATATACATTGCTATGTGAAGTGAATGTTTGCAGCTTTCCCAAGAGTGGTGATATCTGCTGAATGACCTTCCTTTTTTTACTGCTTTTTATGATAATTAGGTTGTCTTATCTGCTGGTATTGTCTGCCTCCTATTATCTCTGAAATGTTCTATTTTGGCTTTCTTTCTTTCTTTTTTTGATTAGATTAATGGATTTGTATGTTGCTCCTTTTGTATTCTAATTCCCTACCCTGCTTTGGGGGCCTTGCAGGGAGCAGCAGAAATAATACTAGCAGAAGAAATTCAAAGGCAGGCTTTAATACATGTTAAGCTTGGCAAGAATTTTGTATGCAAATGCCTGGAAGGCAAGACAATAAGAAACACTTAGGAAAATATGGGGACAACTGGGGATAATTAAACTGAAAATTATGTTTAAAAAGTTAGGTAAAGATATACTAAATAGTTGGAAACCAGCTGTGGAATATGAAAAAATAAAAGCCATCCTGGATTTAGCTGGGACAGGGATTGATTGTATGCTACTATCATATATAAGATTTAATAAATTTTGAATTTAGCTATTTTTGTAGTTAATTAGTGCTTCTTTCCCCCTTATTAACTGTGTGCATATATATCTATATCTCTAAACTTTGGTAGTAGTTTCTACTAGATAGTTGATTTCCAACTTAACTAAGCTCCTTAACTTAACACAGCTCCTATGCTTCAGCCAGAATGGTCAGTGGTCGGACAAAAGATTCCTGCATTGCAGAAGGCTGGACATGACCCTCATGTTCGTTCCCTCCCAACTCTACAACTCTATGATAGGAATTGGAGTTCTACAACATGAGGACAGAGATACAGCTTCCTTATTCATGTCGCAGAGATTTATCCCAGTCTGTAAATGTACAGGCTACTGAAGTCTACAGAAAATTATTTGATTTTAATCCTTCTAGCCATAGGGGGACTAATAAGGTTTAGGACTTTGAGGTCTGGGGCCACAGTTTAGTTGCATTAATCAACAACCACATCGATAGCACCAGGTGTTAACTGTCATCAGAGCTGCGCCACGGAACATTAAAGCAACATCGTGCAGTTCAGGGAGGAGACAGGAGGAGAATTTTTTTTCACTCAGCTATGAATCTCACTTGGTGACCTTGAACCAGTTACACTCCTTCAGCCTGTCCTTGCAGGAAAGGCAGCATACATAACAAGGCAAGTAGCAAGGATCAGACTGTCAAAAGTAACAATGGGATATAAAATTACAAAGTGAAATCTGTTTACGAGACCTTACAGAATATTAGACAAAGTACTGTATTCTGCTGAGTTTAACCGAACAATGATCAGATAAAAACTGTTATGATGATAACAGGCGCCTTGTTCTTCCTTTAAGAAAATTAACACTTTCTCACTATACAGGATAAATTAAAGTACGGTAGTCGTTATTTCACTTTCCATCTTCTAGCCTGCCATTGCATTTTCCACTAAATTGACCAAGAGAAAATGACTTAGTAGCCTTATGTAGTTTTTGGTTTTGGTATGAGTCATGAAAAACCTCTATACACCTAAAACCTGAACTGTCACCAAATAAATAAATCTCTTATAGCCTGATCCTATGCATGTTTACCCAGAAGCAAATCCAATTGTGTCCCCTGGATTTACTCGTAATGAAATTTGCACAGATTTTACAGTTAATTAAGTCAGATGAGTTTCAACCTATGAGCAAATTTGCTTAGATTTGAATACGAATTGTTCTGAATAGATAAGAGTATTTTAGTTTATGAATGCCACAGTATCTTAAAAGAGGTGTTCATTCTGGGACAAAAGGAGGAATGCCTCTTCTAGAATGACATCTGCCATAGTAAGGATTTTATTTCACATTACAGTATTGAACTAGGTCAGCATTTTAGTCAACCAGAAGGTTTGAGTTTATGAATCAAAACTGATGAACGGTGCAGCTAGCCTGGCAAAAAATATCCACTCTGATTGAGCCAAGAGGGGGATTCCCCTCAATGGCGTCCTGGGCGTGCAAAAAGGTTGTGTGTAGGATTAAACACACACAAACATGGGGGCTACAGTACTCCTTGCTTGATTCTGCCCCCATTCCTAGCACAAGACATGCATTGTTAGAGCTAATCACTTCTTTGGCATTGAACACTCAGGTTCATATTCCCCATTTCTTGCCATAGTTGTTTACCATTTACAAGCGTGTGCATGAAGATCCTAACCTACGGTAACAGGTTGGTGCATTGCACATGGATTTGCTGCCCCAAACCACCAGACTAGGGCTGCGTCCACACAATTAAAGCACATTCAAACCACACACACCCCTCAAAGAATTCTGGGCCCTGTAGTTTACCCGACAGAGTTACAATTCTCATCAAGCCTTAACAAACCTCAGTGCCCAGAATTCTTTGAGAAGGGGCAGGAATGTTTCTTTAAAGCTAAAATGTGTACACAACTTAAGGCTGCAGTTCTATATGCAGTATACCTATCCTTCTCATGGAGCAAGTCCCACTGCGCTCAATGTAGACATTGCTCTGTCATCCACAGATATATTGCCTGCTAGTAGAAGCTAAGTAATCAGAGTACTGTATTTATATCAGGATGTGGATATAGTTATGTTAGTAGTACGTGATTATGTCCATGAAATAGGAGGTTTGAAGGGAGTCCCTAAATTCACAACTGAATAACCCTTAACAAACAGCCTTTGTGAACTGTTTCAGATGTGTGGATAGAATAGTATTGTGCAGACAAAAAGTACTTGCAAGCAAGCATCTGCTATGTATTTTCTGTTGTTCCTTGTTGTTTCTTCTTCCTTGAACCTCCCATTGTGAGCAGCCCTTTTTAATTTCCCAATGAACTATTGTCAACATTAACTCCGGCTCACCCCTTTGTTATAATTAGTTATTACTTGTTTACTGGCAACAAATTGCACAGCGCAACACAAATACGAATAGGCTTCTTCTAAAGGGCAGCGTTCACAGCATGAAAGATGGAAAAGGTAGGTTAATGGAAATAAAGAGGGAAGACCAGGAAGGGAGATGACGACCTTTTCTACACAATCAGCCTTTTGTACAGTAAGTGTGCATTACTTACAGATTTGGATAGACACTACCCGCTCAGCTTCCCTTGCGGTTGTGCTTCTGGGGAAATGGCATTTTCCAAGCTCTCGCACTACAGTATTTTGTACTTTGGAAAACTTTATACCTCACCCATCACTTTCCATTGTGCTCGTCATGGATTTTTGTTTGTTGATAAGGGCACCTACTATAGAAGCTCCCTGTGAATTTATTACTAGCAACTGCAGTCCCTGCCATTTTGTGAACTTGTTGCCTTTAATTCTGAAATTTCTTAGTTGCTATGCATTGGTATCTTGAACAATCTCACTACAAACCTCCTGCAATCCCACTTGTACACATGTGCAGGAACATTGATTGTCAAAGAGTAGCCCTGCTATTTAAGGATCACCTTTTACCCTTTTCTTTTAACATTTAGGGGAGTTTGTGTGTGTCCCCTCTAGGGGTGGTCCAGCCCATTTCGCCGTCTGAGGTGAGACAGGAATGCACCACTCCTTAGCTCCTCTCGCCATGCTGCGTAGAAACTCAGCAAGAGTGGGGCATTCCACAAGGCTTTGCAGTTCATCTTCTCTGCCCCAGAGATGGGGAAGGCAAATGGCAACACCATGTGCCGGAACACCTCCCTCTCACCAAAACTCAGCCATGGAGCAGGATGTCTTCTGGTGGCAGTGGAAGCAGTGGGGTGCTGCCTCTTGCCCTTCTGCTGCCTAATACACCCCAAAGAAAATCCTGTGTTGCAAAACAGAACACTCTAAACAACAAGCAACACATCGGCTACTAAATACTAACAAAATCTTTATAATATTATACTGTTTCAAAAATTCATAAACAGATGTATAATATGTGCATGGAGTCACAAATAATAGGTATCAAATAAATGTTCCATAAACAAGAATAGTAGGAGTGGTAAGTCACTGTCCAAGATCATTAATATGGAGGCAAAAAGCCTTTCCACAGTCAATATCCTAGATATGTGTTCCAAACATAGAAGTAGGGTACTCCGAGCACAGCTGCAAACAGAACAGTTCTTCCAGGATAATGAACTGTTTCAATGATAATTCTTCATCGGCTGGCAATGATATGAAATACAATACATTACATTCAAATGCAATACAGAGATTGAAATGACAAGCCTGCAAATGAACAACCAATAATAAATACATACCAAATTAATTGTTCCCAAAGGTACATCCAATAGCCATGGATCAGCAATCACTTAAAAGTGTAGCATTATAAAGGCTATCCACGGGTGCAATGAATCACATATAATTTCAGGAAATTTAAAGCTACAGTACCCAACATCTAGCCATCTTATCAAAGAACTTAAATAAAACAATTGAAATCTAATTCAGTATTCAAACCCCCTGGATGCAGAGATTTAAATAGGTAAATAAGTCTGGTTTCTTGTTGGTGCAGTAATTTGACATGATCTCTCTTCATCCCAAACTTTCTCTGATTAACCCATGTTGTTGTTGTTTAGTCGTTTAGTCGTGTCCGACTCTTCGTAACCCATACGACTGTGTAAAGTAGGTCTGTGTCTGCATGATGATGTTTTACAAAGTGCCCAACTAAAGGTGTCTCCTGGTGGCAGCAGAAGCAATGGGGGTAGACAGGGTGCTGCCTCTTGCCCTTCTGCTGCCTAAGGCTGCTGCTTCACCCTGCCTCTGTAGAGACCGAAGTAAATCATTTAGTTAACTTGTCTTGAAAAGAAACTGCTAGGCAGAAAGGAAACAAGGCTTGTATTGCGTTTGAATCCTTTGTGGTGGCTTCTGCATTGGGGTTGCCACCTTGCACGCAATAACTGCTTGTTGATTCATACCTTGTTATTACTGACCCCCATTAAGGAAACCTAGATATTTCCCTACACCTCATGGTTCCCCCCATTCTTCTCCCGAAGTTCATATCTACAGGAACAGTCCTAGCCCAGAACACTTTGCTCTCCATGGGCCTTGGAGAAAACAGACAAACATGCACACCCTCCAGCAATCTTTTCATGCACAAAGAGGAGTATTTGCAGCCCCCTGCCATACCTGGTTCATGTGTTTGAATGCAGAAACCCCCAGCTTCAATCTCTGATGCTTATAAGTAGGGCGAGGGAAAAACTCTTATCTGAGTCCTTGGAGAGACACTGCCAATCAGAAGAGATAATACTGAGCTTGATGGACCAATGGCCTGACTTTGTATAAGGCAACTTCTTATGTTCCTAAAATGGTTGGATCAACAGCAGGCACAAAGAATTCAGAAGGCACTAGTAGTGGAATCTGTCTATATTCCTCTAGAAAAACCCCAAGCAACACGTGGCTAATAATGTGTTAAAGTATATATACACAATTCATAAACAGAAAATATATGAGTGTCACAAATAATAGAAGTCAAATAAATGTTCAATGAACAAAAATAGAAGGCGTAGTTGGTCAGTATCAGGGAACACTGAGATGGAGGCAAAATGCCTTTCAACATTCAAAATCCTGCAAATATGCGGTGACAGGTGCTCCGAACATAGAACAGTTTTTCCGGATAACGAACTGTTTCAATAATGATTCTTCATCAGCTGACAATAATAGAAATTGAAATACATTAAATCCTGATCAAATTTGCAGATGACACCAAACTGGGAGGGGTGGCTAACACCCCAGAGGACAGGATCACACTTCAAAACGACCTTGACAGATTAGAGAACTGGGCCAAAACAAACAAGATGAACTTTAACAGGGAGAAATGTAAAGTATTGCACTTGGGCAAAAAAAATGAGAGGCACAAATACAAGATGGGGGACACCTGGCTTGAGAGCAGTACATGTGAAAAGGATCTAGGAGTCTTGGTTGACCACAAACTTGACATGAGCCAACAGTGTGACGCGGCAGCTAAAAAAGCCAATGCAATTCTGGGCTGCATCAATAGGAGTATAGCATCTAGATCAAGGGAAGTAATAGTGCCACTGTATTCTGCTCTGGTCAGACCTCACCTGGAGTACTGTGTCCAGTTCTGGCCACCACAGTTCAAGAAGGACACTGACAAACTGGAACGTGTCCAGAGGAGGGCAACCAAAATGGTCAAAGGCCTGGAAACGATGCCTTATGAGGAACGGCTAAGGGAGCTGGGCATGTTTAGCCTGGAGAAGAGGAGGTTAAGGGTTGATATGATAGCCATGTTCAAATATATAAAAGGATGTCATATAGAGGAGGGAGAAAGGTTGTTTTCTGCTGCTCCAGAGAAGCGGACGCGGAGCAATGGATCCAAACTACAAGAATGAAGATTCCACCTAAACATTAGGAAGAACTTCCTGACAGTAAGAGCTGTTCAACAGTGGAATTTGCTGCCAAGGAGTGTGGTGGAGTCTCCTTCTTTGGAGGTCTTTAAGCAGAGGCTTGACAACCATATGTCAGGAGTGCTCAGATGGTGTTTCCTGCTTGGCAGGGGGTTGGACTCGATGGCCCTTGTGGTCTATTCCAACTCTATGATTCTATGATTCTATGAAATACAATACAGAAATTGAAATGACAGATCTGTATATATACAAACAATAATAAATACATACCAAATAAATTGTCCCTATGGGTACATCAAGTAGCAAAGGATCAGCAATCACTTGATAGTGTAGCAAGCTGATACTGTAGGCATAACCCTAGTAGCATTATAAAGGCTACCCACAGGTGCACTGAATCACATACAATTTCAGGAAATTTAAAGGTACAGTATCCAAAATCTAGCACACAGAATACAAACAGTAGCCATCTTGTCAGAAAACTTAAATAAAACAATTGAAGTCTAATTCAGAGTTCAACCCCGCTCCCGCCCCCCGGATGTAGGGATTTAAATAGGTAAATCAATCTAGTTTCTTGTTGGCGTAGTAATTTGATGTAATCTCTCCTCATCCCAAATTCTCTCTGATTAACCCAAAGAACCGTGTAAAACAGGTCTGTATCTGTATGATGTTTCACAAAGTGCTCAGCTAGAAGTGCTTCCATGATTTGATTTCTAATGCGGGATCAATGCACTCCTATAGAGACACTGACCGCTCGTGCGGTCAATCCAATGTAAAGCAGATTGCAAGGGCATCTTATACACCTCTAGAGCAGATTACATCCCCATGTAAGAGTCGCTGATAGGTTGGCAGACACCTATCTCACCTCGGTCAAAGCCTGCCTCAGGCAAGTTACTTTCTCAGGGTTGTTTCACGATGTATGGAGCAAGCAGATTTTTTTTAAAGACATCTGCCTGGGATTTTAGGAAAGGGAAATTATGTACACTGGACTGGACATCTGGAATCTTCTGTACTTTCTGTATCTGCTATTTATCTTCTTTTGCTAAAACCTGTTGTGGGTTGGCTGCAACCGCCACAGGCTGACTGAAAATTGCAGCCACCTATCAGCAGCTATCAATCAGATGCTGCGTAGAGTTGCCACTTCCTACTCAAGTGCTAAATTTCCCCATCATTGCAACTCGATGATGAGGAACCATCACACCTCTGGAATTTCCCTCTGTCCCACAGCCTGGCACATCAGGAAACAAGGTCTCTCAGCCTTTCCCTGTCTGGAAAATGAGTACCTATAGGGTTGTTGTTAGAGGTGGAATTCTGAGGAGGGCCTCATGGGTTGTTTTGAGGCACCTCACACACTTTGAGGTCCAATTACAGATCCTTGTGGTGATCGGTCATCACTCAGCATTAAGCACCCAGGCCAACAAGTGACAAAAATCTGAGGTGCTCTGTGGTTATATCCACACCACACATTTAAAGCACGTGTTTTCCCCAATCCCAAAGAATCCTGGGAACTGTTGTTTGTTAAGGGTGCCGGAAATTGTAGTTTTGTGAGAGCTGAAGTACAATTCCCAGGATTCTTTGTGGGAAGCCATGCGCTTTAAATGTATGGCGTGCATGAGTGGAATACAGTGGTACCTTGGGTTAAGTACTTAATTCGTTCTGGAGGTCCGTTCTTAACCTGAAGCTGTTCTTAACCTGAAGACCACTTTAGCTAATGGGGCCTCCCGCTGCCGCTGCGCCGCTGGAGCACAATATCTGTTCTCATCCTGAAGCAAAGTTCTTAACCCGAGGTACCATTTCTGGGTTAGCGGAGTCTGTAACCTGAAGCATATGTAACCTGAAGTACCACTGTATAACTTTTCAGTTAAAAAAAAAATTAAAACATTAGCTAAAGTTTCTGTTAACTGCAGCATGGCTTGTAATCATGCAACATTGGAAAACAGAAAAGGAGATTCCTCTGCACAACCGGATCAATAATGTTTGGGAAGTGTTCAACTTGGAGACACAGAAAGCAGTGAGAGAGGGTTAGAATAATAGAATTGTAGAGTTGGAAATGGGATAATTTTGGCAATCTGTGGCTTCCCCTTTTCACATTTTTTCACCTGCCCCCCATCCCAACAGTGCATGTTTGTGAGTAAGGGAGTGGGGGCTATGTTTTTATTCAGAACTAGCCTTAGAACTGGACTCAGGTTGCAACGATTTATGTATGCAAAATGCCTATTAGTTTATATCCGAGGCCTTTTATCCTTGGAGCGTCAGTATCCATAGGAGCCAACTCCTAGGGGCCAAGGGCCCTTCAGCCCCCCCAATAAAATAACTGAGGGGCCTTCCCCCCGTTCATGGGCACTACCATTCAAATGGTGTGTGTGTGTTGTGATCGATTATTATGAACGGTTTACCTCTCTCCCCCCAATATTTTATTCAAGTTGGCGCCCTTGTCCGTATCATTGGAACTGTGTATTTCTCACTTAAAATCAACAATGACGTATTGAAAACAAAACACACATTATCTCAACTTAACTTTCTGTTGCTTTGCTGTCAACCTAAAGCAAGCGAAAGGTTAAAAAGGGGGACCCCGAGAGCGCTCGGAGAAGCCCGAGTTCAAGCCGGGGGGAGTTCCCCTCGTCGTCACCGCCGCCGCCTCCTCGCAAGCGGAGGCCGCAGCTTCGGCGACTCCTCCTCCGGAGGGCCGGGCCAGGCCGCGTATAAGAAAGCTGAGCGGCGGCGGGGCGGGGAAGGACGGGACACTTGGTTACCGCGCCGCCGCCGCCGCCACCGGACCAGCCTTTGCTCTTGCGCCTTCCTTCGCGGACCCCACGACGCCATGAAGCCCAGTCGCCCCGCCGGCCTGTGCGCCCCCGCTCTCCTGCTGCTCTTGCTGCTGGGCGCTGCCGCCGCCGAGTCGGTGAGTCGCTTTGGGGCGTCCCGGGAAGAAGGGGTGGCGGGCGCTGGGGAGTCGCCGGCATTGATTTGGTAGCGGGGGCGCGCGGTTGTAAGGAGGCAGGCAAGGCTTGGTATTTTCCGAAGCGGGGACGGGGGGGGGAGTCGGTAGCGGGGAATAATTGGAATGTGTTGGTTCTGCCGCGCCCCCCCCTTCCGTCGCACACTCTAACTTGCGAACTTTTGCACGAGGGGCGAAGAGGGAGAGTCTGCAAACCGCCCCATTCCCTCTCCCTCCCAACTATTGCTTTGGGGACGGGACTTTTGGAACGAGCGCTTACTTCTCCTTAACCTTTCCTGGTGGTGGTGCTGCTGCTGCGGGCGCGCGGGGGGGGGGACTTGCTTGCCTGTCCTCTGTAACGTTGGGGCGAAATTCTGCTGGCTCTTTTTGGGAACGTGGGATGGGGTTGGGTTCCCCCCTTGTTTTCCCACATGCACGCCCCTCTCCAAATCCCTGGAGCTATGGATGGGAGCTGGGAATGAGACCCCCCCCCGGTGAAGCTAGGAGCATGCACATTCCTTCTCCCTCTCCCAGTCCGTTTTCGCTTGTTGCTTTCTTCTTCCACCGCCACTTCACCCCCTCCCCTAGTTAACAGTGGAGCATCCCCCCCCCACTTCAAACGCCAGGAGGCTGCTTAACACTTTCCCCCTCTTATTCCAGTGAGGCTGATAGGGGTGGGTGGGATAGGCGACCCTTACTCTATCCCCCGCTTTGCTCCCCTTGCGCCCGCTCGCCCGCTGGCTTTCGTCATCCTCTTGACTTGCCTTGCGGCTTCCTCGCCTGCCTCCCTCCCTTTCTCCTACCCTCTCATCTCAAGTCTCCAAATACCAGCACATTTTGGCAAATAACGTGCCCCGCTGCCTTATTTAGCACTTCCTCTCGCTCATAGCTGTGGAATGAGTAACCGCTGACCGAAAGCCTGGCTCTGTTGCAATTCCCTAACGTCATGCAGAACCCATTAAGTGAAATCCCCAGGGCTCTGGCATGGTACAAATCGGGAGTTTTCTTGTAGGTCTGGATTTGATAATTTTCCCTCTCGGTTGTTCTCTGACAATAGGAGACCTTGGGTTGGGGTTTTTTTTCCTGTGTGTGTTTTTTCCCTTTTGCTCCTCCTCTCCCTCCTCTCCCGCCAACCATAATACACCTTTACAGGTAGTTATTTCTCAGGTAAACACCCTTGCCTCTTGACCTTTGACCATGCCGAATACACACTCGCTAGAATATGTTTGCTAAGACTATGCAAAACCGTTGTGGGGTGGTGAGAGCCTTGTTTCAGTTAACTTAATGGTGTTGTATAGGCTTGGCAGGAGACATTTTGCATCTGAAGGGGTGCAACTGATGTTCAGTAGCATTACTGCTTCTGACTGTGGAGGCAAAGCATAACCATCATGGCTAGTAGCCATTGATGGCCTTGCTCTTCATGAATTTGTCTATTCCAGGGGTCAGCAAACTTTTTCAGCATGGGGGCGGTCCACTGTCCCTCAGACCTTGTGGGAGGCTGGACTATATATATATATTTTTTTTTGGAGGGGGGAAAGAACAAATTCCTATGCCCCACAAATAACCCAGAGATGCATTTTAAATAAAAGCACACATTCTACACGTGGGCCGAATCCGGCCCCTGGGCCTTAGTTTGCCTACCCATGGTCTAATCCTCTTTTAAATACATCCAAGTCCGCAGTCACCATTGCCTCCTAGGAGAATGAGTTCCATAGTAACTCCTTTCTGATAGGGATAGATTTGTTTTAATCTTTCCCTCTGTGGCTTATTTAACATTTACCTGTGCTGTCTCCTTACCAATCCAAACCTTTCTTTTTTGCTTGGACCAAAAGCACAACTTGTGGAATTCCCTCCCCTTAGAGCTGGGTCTGGCACCTTCATGGTGAAGCTTTTGTGTTATTATCACATGAGGCTTTTTCTGCAAATGGCAGGGGTGTTCCTTGACCTTCTTGTAGATCAGGTTCAGCCTACATCATTTTGCTGTAGTTGGACATAGGCAACAGAAATAATTAAGTACGATTTGCCTGGAAGTACTACAGCATGTCTTTGCTACTTTGCCTGATTGCTCTTAATGTGCTGCATTTAGTTTGTGGAAAACATAACTTTTTCATATATTGATGTGATATGAACTCATTTTGTTACTGCGATGTCGTAAATTGGTTTTTTCGTTTTTCGTGGAGATTCCTTTCATGCACCAGTAAAGAAACCCTCTTGGGAAACTTCTTCCAGGGGTTCTGGAGTTTTGGGTGTGTTCCCTCCCCCCTTCAGTAGGTCTGAGGGAATCTCAGGTAATTTTGAATCTAGCCTCTAGGATCTATCAGCAGCTTTTGTTCAGAGACTTGCCACTATCTTTAAACATTCCTTCAGCTCCCTTATCAGCCAGAGATGCTGTTGACATGGGGCTTGAGTGTTATCAAAATATCTGGCCATCTTCTGCTTTTTACTTGCAGTCCTGTTAACTACCTGGCCTGAAGTAGATGGTGGGTCCAAATACACAGGAATGTACTCCCCCACCTTTTTTTTTTGCAATGGCCCCATTTAGTGACAGGAAGATTATGTGGAGTTTTCAGTAGACTAATCCACGTATTCACTTGTGGCAGTTGTCTCCTTTTTTTAATGTTGTATTTTACTACTTTGTTGATTGGCATATATAACACTTTAAAAAGTGGTCCAGTAAATTCATTACCCTCCAAGTATTGCAATAAAAAGGAAGGGTGTAAATCTAAACAAATATTTCCTGAAGCTGCTCATCCAATGCATACATGAATCTTTGTCATGGAGAATCAACCAGGTCCCCGGTGTTACAAGAGTAAAGGAGCCAGTGAAATTGGCTTTCCTCTGCAGTGTTAAAACAGTAGTAGAATTTCCAAAAACTTAAGTATCTGATTGGCTCCGCTTCACATTTTGTAAAGTAGTGCAGCATTATTAATGAACAAACTGGTTTGTCCCGTCCTGCTGCCATGAACCCCTCAGGCTTGTTCTTTCTATTCCTGCTCAGTTTTTTCTTCTGTCTCTCAATCAAATCAGCATTGTTAACCTGAATATGTAACTTTATTTTTTGTTTGTACCATATGATTTGGACAGGCTCGGGCAGAGTTCAGGTGTGCCCTCATTTGCCTGATGTGATATAACTACCTGTTCTGCAAAGGCAAAATAAGAATGGGCCTTGACAGCTATTCCAAATGTTCTTGCTTCATCACAAAGGCAAATTAGATGCTAATACCACATTTCCCCATATAGGCAGTATATGGTCAAACGGCACACACAGCTCTTGTGTGGCCAGTGGGAGCCATTTAGAATTTGGACAATCCTAGCTTTTCACTTCTTAGGAGTTTCTAGCCCTCATGGTTGCAGGGTTATCAAATAGCAGAAAATGCAAAGGAACTGGAAACATGGTAAGAAGTAAAGTTCTGATTTCTGTTTTCCAGCATCTACCAATGTTAGGACTGTCTCTTCCACACTTAAAAATAACAGCTGCTAGGCATGTACAGATGAAGTGCAGTTCACTTTGGATCACAAGTAATTAAAAGTGTAAATTGAGTAGCTCTTGAGCTCATCAGAGACTGCTAGTACAACCATGGTTGCAAGTTATCTGGACATGTTCTAGATGAGAGATGGGGAATATTGTTTTACTCCAGATCCCATTATCCATAATCATTGACTGCTGACTGAAGCAGATGGGCATTCAAGTCTTTCAAGTCTAGCAGCATCTTGAAGGACTACAAATTCCCCATCCCTGTTTTAGAGAGAACATCCTCACTAGTCTGTTTCTCTCCCCACTATGTTTAGGAGGAAAGAGGTTCAAAGCATTGTGAGATTGGCAAATCAAGACTCTATTACTAAGACCCATGCACTTAAAGCACACCCAACACACATTTAAAGCACATTCCTTCCCCAAGATTCCTAAGAATTGTAGTTTCTCTGTCACAGAGATACAATTCCCACCACCCTACACAAACTACCATTCCAGGAATATATTTTTTTTTTTTGGGGGGGGAATGTGCGTTGGATGTGCTTTAAATGCCACTGTTTGGATCTGCCCTAAGTAGCAAAAGGGGGGCGGACTTGTTGACCAATGTATTTGGGGCTGCAGGCAGTAGATATATTACTTACTATTTGTGATGCAAGCTTTGCCCCACAGTGTGATAACACGGTTGATCTCTTTTTAAAAACATGTTTATTAATGTCTTCTACAGTAACAAAAGACAAAAAAAATGTGCAATTTGGGTATTATGGAGTACAGCATAATTACAAAAAATGCTAGGTCCACTATATGTCTAAAACCCCAAACCATATCCCTGTATTTTCAAATAACCATGTGATGAAGACAGGGTTGCTACAGACTGTCTAAACCTGCCATTAATAAACTTAAAAAATGGATACCATTCTTCCCTCTGCCCTTCCCTCCTCCATTACAATAACAATAAGGAAAGGAAAAAAAATCAACTACAAACAATGAAAAATTGTTCAGGCATTGTATTATAATAAAGTTTCATTCAGTTACAGTATTTTAAAAGATACTATTTTTTATCAAACAAATTGAGTTCAGTCTCTCCTTGAATTGCTTGACGGAGATAAGTTAGAGGTTTCTGAAAGAGCTATATTCCTTTTATTGTTGTGCCACATCTCTTTCGGCACTGGCTCTCGAGATTTCCAATGGGATCCTGTTACTAGTCTCATGGCATCTAATAGCAGGTATACCAAAGTCATGTGATGCTGTAGGATTTCAGCCACTTTCTCACACTGTGTTGACTTACTGCTGCCGGGCTAGTGGTAGCCCCATCAGATATTCTTTCTAGGCCACTTTCCACCGCCAGTGTCTCATAATTAACTTATGGCTCTGGGTGGGATGTGCAGTTGTGACAAACATCATAGAGGTCTAGAGAAATAGCTGCATGGGTTGGTACCAGCTTTGTTTCAAATTCTTGGGCACTACTTGACTGCTAAACCGCCCACCTTTCATA